TTTTTGCCCTTCACCTTCATTCCAAATCTTTAAAGCCATTAAAACAAGTACCTGGTCAATGAATAAATCTTCTCACGGAGAGGCATTTGGAGCCTTCTGCAGTTTGACGCCAATCACCTGACTGTCTTTACTTTTAACTACTTGCCTCCAAGCGCCTTCCACCCTAACCGAATGGAAGAGCTGACGTGTTGTGTTCCTGCTGCCAAGAATTGCTTTCTTCTCCTGAACTCTTTCTCCTTTTTTCTACATCTTTTAACTTTAACATCAGTTTGGATGTCATTTCCTGAAAAAGGCTTTCCCAGAACTCTGGCACTGATCCCCACCTCCTCCAACTTCTTCCCACCTCTCCTAATTGCTGCTAAACTGTAGGTATTACCTCCCTATCCTCAACACTCCTAAGACTCTTTATACTTGGATCTACTTTTGTGTGCCTTAAATTTTGAGTGTGCATGTATTTCTGGTAGGAGACTCTTGAGGATGCAGTTCTAACCAATTCATTTCTGTATTCCCGTATCTTCCAACACCATTCCTTACCTATGACTGGTGTTCAGTCAATGTTTTCTGAATGTTTTAAATGGAGATCCATTGATTTAACATTTCCTTTATGGCTGTTTTTCCTCTTGAGGCTCGTGATTCAACACTAACATAGAGGGAGTCTAATTCAGTGAGATGTTTTTCAGGACGCGTATTACATTCTAAACAGAATTCACAAGGTTCTGTCTTTCTATAGACAATGCAGTTGTGTTCCCGCCCCCATCATTAGCAGCTTTCTGTTTACAGATAGCTTTCACGTGCAATGGCAGGGTGGAACAAAACAGTCTGAACACAGGTTCCAAATCTCTCTGAGACGCGGCTTTTCTGTCCCCTGCCCCAGTTTACGACACAACACAATTGGAATTAGCATCTCATGGGTATAAAACCTTAAAGCTCCATTTTAGATGTGACAGGCACTCTCACATCTGATGGGACAAACATAGTTTTACTGGAAAAAAAAGCCATTGACCCATTCAGTCCTTTCCCGGATCACCTGCTGGACTTTGGGTGCTGCTGATGAAAATACAAGTACTGGTCCATACAAGGAACTCTAAGCCATATGGAGGGAGACAAACATGTGATGGGATCAGTTTTACAGAGAGTGACCTGCACAGTGCCAGAGGCAGATAGACGCGGGGCCGTGTAGAGTACAGATGCTTTCAAATAGTTCATTTTGCAGCAGTGTCCTTGCAGGTATCAATCATTCAGGCATTATTTGATGGTTATTAAAAGCAGTGGCACTCTTTTTTATTCCATTTATTTATTTATTTATTTATTGCATGTGTGCCTGTGGGGAAGCATGTGTATGCCATGGTACACACATGGAGGTCAGAGAACTTGCAGGAGTTACACCTCCCCTTTCACCAGGGATCCCAGGGATCAAACTCAGGTTGGTCAGGCTTGGTGCTGAGCACTTCCACCCACTGAAATGTCTTGCAGGCCCGGCATAATTTTCAAATACTGACTCTGAGCAGGATCTCAGCATTCATGTCAGCTGCTGGGGCATGATTTAGCCAAGCAGCCACGCTTGGTTGGTTGACCAAGACCTAGATATCGGCCTGTGCTCCCTAGGGCTCAAGGGGATGAATCATTCAGAGACATTTGCAAAAGGGCAGTTTTCTTCTGATTCTCTGAGCTGAGCTTCATGCCAATGGTATTTTGGCGTGGCGATCTTACTTTCTACTCTGACTATAGCTTCAGAATATCTAAATACATTAGCGTAATTAGCTCAGCTGTGCGGATGACTCACTGGAGTGTGGTCTTTAAGTCTGTGACCCTGGAGGAGTGGCGGGGGTGGGGAGAAATTCTAAATTATAAACGTCCAAAGTCTGCAGTTGTAAACACCGCTGAGTATTTGTGCAGCCTGTTTTTGGTTTCCTTCTCTTTGGGGCTCTTTGCATTTAGGGATACCCTTCTGCTCATCAGAAATTCCCCCAGAAGGATGGATAGGGTAATACAAGTCAGAAGAAGAAAAGGTAGAGGAAACTAAAATCAATTTCAAATTTCTTCTCGCTGGTGGCCCAGTGGAAGACTTGGATGGGGGGGGGAATAAGGGATATAGATTAGCATGAGGCTGTATTATTGCTCTGGATTCTTATGACTCACAGCTGAAAGAACATGATGGCTTGAAGATTGTGGTGATGGCGGCTGTAAGTCACTAACAAATATGTTCCTCATCTCAAGCCATCGAGTCAGGCTTACGGGGTCAATATGAAACCAAAACACAGCAGAGAATGGTCGGGGAGGAAGGAAAGTAGGGATAGAGGGATAAAGGGAGAGAGAGAGAGAGAGAGAGAGAGAGAGAGAGAGAGAGAGAGAGAGAGAGCCTTTCCCATTGCAGTTTAAATTCTAGAAGGTGAAATTGTTTGAAAGTTTAAAGCCCTTTTCTCATGAGGTCTTAGTCACGAGAGATTTAATCAGCAGGTACCCGCGTCGATATGGAAGTCACAAAACTTTGTCTTTTCCAAAGCTTACAAAGTGACATCCACTTTAAGTGCTTTCAATGAAGAGCACCATGGATTCCGGTTAAGAGGCAACTGTATCGGGTGTATACGAGCTGAGGGAAGTGGTGAGAGGGTACAGTGAGCAGCGAGCCAGCAGGGAGCCTACGAATAGTACTGTCCACCCGAATCCTTTCCAGCTGGGGGAAGACGTGGGAGTGAGTGCCCGCATCACTCTACCATCCAAGTTCCCATTCTGCCTCTTTTACTCTTCACTGCCTCCTCCCTCCTCTCCTAAATCCCTCCTTCTCTTCGTTACCTCCCTTTCCCCTGGTTCCTCCCCATCCTTTTTCTTCAAACGGTTCTCTCTCCTCTGGCTCGCTCTCTTCTGGTCTCTTTCGCTCTCATCTCCTTTCCCTCCTCCATCCCCCAGCAGCGTCTGCGTCAGGCCCCCACTAGCGTGACGCGCGGGGTCTGGGTGGGAGCTGTCCACTCACCCAGGTGCTGAACGAAGCGGCGGCTTCACTGACCGCGCGAGTGGAAGTAGCTGGGTGCCTGCTCCGCTCCAAGAAGCTTGTTTCCAGTCCTCGGACCGTCAGTCTACTGCCCCGGCACCTCCCTTCCAGCACCACCCCTTTGGGAACTGAGCCAGGGGGGCAGCAGTAGCGGCGGCGGGTGCTGAGCAACGGCGGAAGACAACACCTGGCAGCAGGCTGGAATCTGATTTGCTTCCTTTTCGGCTTTTCAAAGAGATATATTTATATACGGTTCTGGGGAGTCTCCAGGACCAAGCTGGAGCCAAGTGCCGTCTGCCTGACCATCTCGGCCACACCGTCTCTATTCCCCCTCCCCACCTTCGGCTCACACCGCAAACAAGCCTTACGCCCGTGCATCTGCGAGGAGAGGTAGCAACAGCAGCGAGCCCAGCCAGCCAGAGGCAGCCGGAGGAGGGAGGGGCGGCGTGGGGGTGGGAGCAGAGAGCGGGCCGAGGCCGCCCTAGGTGGGGGAGCGGGGGCAGAGCAGCCGACAGGACCTGGCAGCCGCCCTCCTCCGCCCCCACCCGCCAGAAGCACTCTTTCCTGATTATCTGAGAACTGAATTGTCCATTAGTATTTTTTTTTTTTATTCTCCCCATCACTTCCCCACCGCCCCTACTCCCCACGCCTGCCTTGTCTCTGGTTGCATGGCAGCACTGCCCGGGAGCGGGGGCTCAGGGCCAGCCCCCCGGGAAGGAAGAGGAGGAGGATCATGAAGCCTGGAGTCGCGACCGCGCTGGACCGCGGGCAGCAGTCAGAGGACCAGCAGGAGCAGCTCCCGCCCGGGAGACACCAGGACGCCGACCAGCAGTCGCTTCTGTCGCCACAGCAGCAGCGCCGGTCGCGTGCAGACCCAGAGCAGGAGGACGAGGACAGCGACCCAGAAGAGGACGAGGAGGAGGAGAAAGCGAGGCCACTTTCCAGCTTGGACCTGCCTATCTTCCAGCTCTCGAACCTCGCCCGAAGGGACCTTTGATGGAACCAAGGGGAGGGGCCTCCGATTTACAGACTGCAGCTGGAGTGGGCTGGGGGCTGAGGTCATGTAACTATTCCTTTCTCCTCTCCCCTCCCCACGCCCCTCTTCTCTACCTCTTTTCTCTACTCCATCACCTTCCCTCTCCCAAGCACACCCCTCCACTATTCAGGACCTTAGGCTCTGGAAGCAAGCAGCCTTTGGAGGGTTAAGGATCTTTTTTCCCTACATCCTTTCCTGGTCCACCGCCCTATACCCCACCTCTTCTGTGTAGCCTTTTGGCTGCATAGGCAAAGCACAAGCTCTTTGCCCAATTTCACCTGCAATTGGTTCCCCCGTTCCTCTCTTAAAAGCAACTCTGGTGCTACTGGGGGTTAATTGCTCCAGTTTTTTGCCCAAGAGAATTAGAACTTCTCCGAACCTTCTTTGCATCCCCCACCCCACCCCACCTTCCCCCAACCGCTTCTTACTACCTGAGGAAGCTTACCTTTTCTCTTTCACGTGCAGTCCTGGATTCTTCACCGAGCTGGTTTCCCTAAGCCCAGATCTAGCTGCTCCAAATTTGATTTATAATCTTCTCCACCCTTTTTATATAAAGGAGATTTACCACAGCCTAGAGATTTAAGAAGAACCTAGCAATCTTTTCCTTGGGAACTTTTAACAAGTAGACATTGGTCCTACGTCCCAGTCTTGATGCTTCTTCTATTGCCCCTATTCTGGGGTCAAAGACAGAAAGGAGACGACAGTCAGAGCTAAGTCTGAGGTTGGGGTGGGGCTGCCAGGACAAGAAAAACTTTTTTTTTTACTTTGCGTTTTTTCTTAGGAGCGTTCAGAATCATCGGCTCTCAGTTGTCAGTCTAGGAGGTAATTTACTTGCTGCTTGGAGGGGTTGTAAGAAGAGCCAATAAGAAAGGAGGTTCGTCTTTAACACAGAAACACTGTGGACCCCAAGCCCCACCCTATCCACCTCTTCGAAGACTCCAGCTGCCCCTCTCCAGTCCTCTGCTTCCCTGTCACATGCTCATGCCCCTGGGTGGGCTGCTGTGGTGCTGCTGCTGTGGCTGCTACTGCTGTGGATTGTGCACCCCAGCTCCCCAGATGTTGCGCCACCAGGGTCTCCTCAAGTGCCGCTGCCGAATGCTCTTCAATGACCTGAAGGTTTTCTTACTGAGGCGCCCCCCTCCAGCGCCCCTGCCCATGCACGGTGACCCCCAGCTCCCTGGTGTGGCGGCCAACAACAACACCCTGCCGGCTCTGGGTGCCGGGGGGTGGGCAGGCTGGAGGGGCCCTCGAGAAGCCGTGGGAAGGGAGACCCCTCCTCTGCCACCTCCACCACCTTTGCCTCCTGTGGAAGATGACTGGGATGGCCCAGCCACAGGGCCACCTGCCTCCCTGCTCAGCAGTGCTTCCTCTGATGAATTCTGTAAGGAGAAAGCTGAGGACAGCTACTCTCTAGGAAGTAGCTTGGACAGTGGTATGAGGACTCCCCTCTGCCGCATCTGTTTCCAGGGACCAGAACAGGTGAGTCCTTTCCTTTTCCCCTGCTTTGGTGTGTGGTATCTCCAGGCCATGAAGATCGCCACTTAACTGTTTGCCCCAGGGAACTATTATGCTGTTTCGAGTGTCAGAGACTTACTGTTTAGAGTTTCTCAGTGATGTTTTGGTGAAGCTTGACCAATAGGTGCCTGAAGGAGCCTGTTCGATAACTAGCTCAGTTGCACTTGGATTTTGCACCCTCCCCCAAAGCAAGTCTCTTCAATCCCATCCCCAAACTTCCCTAAGCACTCAGAACAGAAGATCCAGAAGCAATGAAGTGGAGAGATTCAGAGGGACCTTCATGTTCGTTGCTAAAAAACACTTTTAGCTGGTTTCTTGCTAGTAATGCCCTCAACCCATATTCACCTCTAATTCATATTTCTTCCTTTCCCAAAATTGTGCCAAGATTATGCTCTCCCTTCCCAGTCTGTCTGTCTGTTTGTTTCCTTTGAGGCTACCTCAGTTTGCCAAGACACTTTTTGGTGATCTTGAATTTTCCCTGTGTTGGAATCAGATACTTTAAGCCAGAGTGAGTTTAAGGGACATTGGGAAAGAATCTTGCCAAATCTATTCCCCTTCCCTTACACTTTCCCTATTCATGGCATGGGACAGAGATTTTTTTCAAGTGAGGCAGGGTCTCTCTTTCTTATCTATTCAGATTTCTACAGACAACCCTCTCATTATTCCATTTGTCTAGTCTTCACAACACTGGATGGATGTGCTAATCCACAACAGTTCTGAATTGTGAAAACACATAGTGAAGAATTTCAGGAAGAAAAGACTCTCCTGGAGATCAGGTCTCCTTAGTGATGGAGGAGCGGCAGCGTTTGATAGGGCTGTGGGCAGGGTTCTGTGGTCACCTCAGTGACCTCGTCAGCAGTCTCTTGAAGTGGAGAGATCCTGGGTGGTCTTGAATTGGTGTCAGTAGAGTAGGGTGCCCCCTTCTTGCTATCTCTATGAGACAGACACAGGCTTAGCTGATGTTTTCATTCATTTTTTTTCCCCTCTTGGCTCTGAATGGGCAAAGCACTTAGGGACTGGTGATGCCTGGGGCTACAGCCTAGGCATTGTGAAAGGAAGTGATGAAGAAGGGTCTCTGAGAGAATAAGGGTTGGGCTCCTCCATTTATGATTGTGGTTACCTGAAGCAGCAAACGAAATGCTAGTGGCTCAGGAGGTCTTCTAGCACATTGCTCCATTGCCAATACCGAACTTCTATGGAAGGTGTGTGGGTCTGTGGTTAATAGCAAAGATGAGTCTCAATTGGGTCAGGATTTGTCTCATTCAGGGAACTCAGCTTTTCCAAAACATAGAGTGATTTTGCTTATTAACTTCCAAAACTATTTCTTCCTTTCCCCATATGGGCTGGCGCATGTGTGCGTATCACAGGGGCTATTGGAAGTGTGCCTTCTGGCAAGAGCTCTCTTGTCTCTAGAAAACAGCAAGTCTTGGAACGTGTGCTGAGATAATATTTCACCTGCTGTGAAATATTCTTCAAATAACTTTATGCCTCTAGGCCTCCATTCCAATATCCACGAGATAGCACTTACTTTCCATATTCTTCCTTTGTAGGAGAGCCTAGAAGTGTGAAAATACCTTGTAAGGGATTAACATATTATTAACATGTTTTTCGATCATGGAAAAGCTGCATTTTATTGGAGAAAGGAAACAAAGGGGGATCATTAGTAATACCCTAAAATGCCCTCTTGTGACCCAAGGGCTGACCAAGGGCTGGGAACATCTGCTGCTGTCCGTCATCCTTCCTGTGTGTTCTAAATAAAACACTGAATAAAAAAGCTACCATCACTACAGGAATGGGTTCTCTTATTATGTGGGAGGGGCTGGGTCTTCACTGTGATGGGGCCAAATCAAGCCCTTCTTAAAAATGACTATCACGGGTCAGGCGGTGGTGGCGCACACCTTTAATCCCAGCACTTGGGAGGCAGAAGCAGGCGGATCTCTGAGTTCGAGCCCAGCCTAGTCTACTGAGCGAGTTCTGGTACAGCCAAGGCTATACAGGGAAATCATGTCTTGCAGAAAGAAAGAAAAAAAAAAAACAATGATTATCGTGTTTGGGAGGGTTTACTTGTTGTAGGAGCCGAGAGGTTTTCCTGGGATCGTGCTACAGTGATAGCAAGAGAAATGGAAGTTGTTATGTTGAACATGGTTTCCCAGTTCTCACTTTTACTTACAGAATTTCAATGAGGAAGGAAGACAAAGGAGAGAAGCTGGGGCACTCGAGAGAAAGAGGAAAGAGGAGAGGTGGAGACAGAGAAGGTTTAGGTGGAGATTTCTGTGTTTAAGGATCTGTTCAGACAGACAGACAGACAGACAGACAGACAGACAGACAGAGATCACTGTCAAGCAGTTGTCTCTCCCTGGTCTAGGAGAGGAGTGATCTGCAACCTGAATAGCTGAATGGCTTGGTTTTTTTTTTTAACCCTGCCCAAACAAAGGAACCAAAAACTTGCTCTCCCACATACCACAATCTCACTCGTCACTACTCCAGGATCCAAAAGATTGATAAAAATAAAGATGTGGTCTCCTCCTGCAAAGTGTTTACAGTAACACAGTGAAGGGCTCCAGGGAGATTCATTTAGGTTCACATTCGCAGGTTTCCACAAAGGACTTTGCATCCATTCACTCGTGTGTGCTTATTTGATGGTTAAAAGCCACAGGGTGCTATGGCTCCAGGACTAAGCCTCCCTAAATGAACAAAAGCAGATGAGATCTCTGCTGTCTTGAAGCTGGCCTTCGGGATGGGGGGGGGAATATTAAGGGGAAATGGGCAAATGAACTAGTAGATAAGCGAGGTGGTTGCAGATTGAGAACCACAGTGAAAACAAGTAAGACAAGACCATGCACAAAACTGAGTTCATCATGAATGAAAAGAAGGGACAAGATAGTCCATCCACATTCGATAGGATAAGCAGGGAGAGCCTTCCTAAGAATGCCACATCCACATTCGATAGGGCAAGCAGGGAGAGCCTTACTAAGAATGCCCCAATCCACGCTGGAACCTAAATGATGAGGCGGACCCAGCAGGGTACACATCTGGGGAAAGCATTCTCTCTGCATGAAACAATAAACTCAAAAATCCAAACGTGAGCAGACTTAGAATGTTTGCAAAACAGAAGAGGAGTTCTGGGAGGAGAAGGAAGGATGGGGTATGAACAAATGCTTTGAGAACCTGTTGACTACATTCTAGAAAGTTCCTGAGTAGCTATTCCATTCTCCTCTCAGCCATTCGTTCATGTAAGACTGAGTTCAAAGACCCCCGGGAGTGTGCAGCAAGGGCTTTTGCATTTCCCCTTACCTTCTACTCCTGGCTAATGTCTAACCCTCCCAGAAGAACAGTGCACTGTGGTTGGTATGGTGAGGCTGCCTGGGGTCAGATGGTCCTAATTGGAATGATGAACTAGTTAGAAGGCCTAACTGTGCCTCAGATTCCTCATTTGTATGATAACAACAGTCCCTGCTTTGTAGGATGACTCTGAACACTAAGTCAGTCAACACTACAGCAGCAGCCGTGGCAGTGTTCTGTTATGGTTATTATTCTCTCCAATGCAAGACATTGCATTGTGCAGGTGTGCCCCAGTGCACAGGCTAGCAGGACGGCTGGTGCCGTCGTGGATGACTTCTCTTACACACAGAATGCTCTAGGCACAGAGTGCTGTTCCTCTGTTTCCAACACCAAAATCTTTATTAAGAGCCAACTAGGCCTGCTGCTTTGCTGAGCAGGGGCTAGAGACACACACGTTAGATGTTGCCCGGCCTTCTAGGATGTCACAATCTAACCCAGACATCACAGGACCTGACAGAGATCAAGAACACACAGAGGATGAGCCTGAGTGAATCTCGTTATTATCTGAACAAGAAAGAGGCAGGTTTAAAAACAGCCAGTGGGTTGGATAGCTATTCCGAAAGAGAGGTATGGAGGATGGTGGGGGGAGGGATTTGCTACTTTTCCCCCAATTAGTCAGGAAAGGCTTCTCTGTTGCCACTGAAGACCAAGTGAGAGGAAACGGATTCTGGCTGAAAGGTTGAGGCTAGGTAGAAAGCAGCAGAAAGGATGTGAGAAAAGTGTGGCTTCACAAAGAGAAAAAACCACCTGCCAGGCTGGGAAGCTGTGGGATGCCTGGGGGTGGGGGGGCTCGGGGCTAAGGATGCAGTCTAGAGCAGGGTCGGGAGTAGGCACACACATTGAATTTAATGAAAAGTAGGGAACCAGTCTAGAGGAATTTAGCAGACTTGAGTGCCTTTCTTGTTCTTCTGGGGCTGGCTTCCTGAGGGCTTTGTTCATAGGGAATGGGAATAACAAGGAAGGTTTTAGTCAGTGTGGTGGGTTATTCAACCATAGAATAAAGGCTTTACAAGGTTCAGAGGAACCTGCACGCTGCATGGAGAACTCTGGGAATGGAGAGCCGGAAGAGCAGTAATGCCCAGGTGATGCATTTGCTCTTCTGGGAACCGCAGTTTGATTTTATATTCCCTTGTGTACTTGCTTTATCAGTACCTCTCTGGGCAATGAACAAACCCATACCTAAAGCTTATGAATCTTAGACAAAGATGATAATAGCAGCTCGCACAGTGTAGGTTGGAATATCTACAAGCAATAAAGCCATCTAAACAGACTGTTAAATATAGCTCTATCCTCTCAACCTGACTACCGTGTATTCAAAGTAAGTAGGAGAATGAGTTTGAATTTATAAATTTTAGATTTGTCTGAATTCTGCATTGGCCGATGGAGATATCCACAGACCACTCTGATTCTCTCGTCCAAGCTCTGTCCATACCATTTGCTGAACGGTGGTTTCTTCCCATAGTTCTCTAGCCTAGGATGGAAGTTTACAGACCTGAAGAAAGTCCTCCAGGTCTTAGGGGCAGGCTCATCTCCATCTGGGCAAGAACTCCAGGGTACCAGGTAACTGGAGCATATTCCAGAAGAGGGACCTGGCTCCTCGTCTTTTCAGACTCTTTCTCTGT